CAATGGATTGTTTTGGAAATGTGGGGTGGGGGTTGTGGTTTTGTCTTTTGTTTTTTAAAATTTTGAAATAATAGGGAAATGTATTATGACAATTTTACCCATATCTTATTTGGTCAAAATTATTAAAATTTTAATTTTTGAGGTCAACTGACGATTTTTTGGGTCAAACTGATAGAAATCGTCAATCTAGACTTAAGCTGCGATTTTTTTGAAGGTTTCGTACCTGTACAAATCAAAGGTTTGAGCAAAATCTAAAAAGAATGAAAGATTTGGTACCGAGGTTGCAATTTTCCCTTTTAATTGTAGTTAAACACATGAATCTCTATTCATTGTAGTAATTATTTCCTTAAAACTTTTTTCAGTCGAATTCTTATTTTCAACTTTTCATTAATTAGTACATCTCGTCATTGATTATGATTTATATCAAAATATTTTGTTTTTATGCTTTGAAACGAGGGAAAAATATTATACGCCCTTTTTATTTATTTATTTTTTAAAAATATGATAGAAAAATATAAAATGTGTCAACAGTCAACTAATTGATAATAAGAATGATATAAAAAATCATCCGAGATATATAATTGCTATAATGAGTACAGATTAAAACTTTAAACGTAATTAAAATATGATGAAAGAAATAAAAATCGTCGAGTGAATATATGAAGCATCGATTAATGTTTTCTAAAAATTTTTGAATTGAAAATAAAACATAGCTTGGTGACCAAAGAAGCTTCTAAGTTGACCAAATAATTAGGTAAACCAATTCATAATCCCACCGCCTATCACTCCAATCCATCAACTTTAGTTTCCATCAATTTTCGGTGCAGGTCATTAATTAAAACCACTGTTTGACCGTCAAAAACAGTCTCATTTACAAATTGCAACCCTAATTAATAAAATATTTTATAAGCAATCATGTTACAAGTACAATAATTTTGACATCAAGATTGACATTGTACCATGTGACGACATTACATTGGACAATTTTTAAAAATAACGTACTTTCCCGTCAAACATAATTTGAATTTACACATTGTGCCAAACTTGAAGTCAAGAAAATAATGTACTATAGACAGGAATTTAATCGTAATGCCCTACTCGAGTAATGCTATTCATCTCCATTGGGGATGAAAACACAGTCTACGTAGTATCAATGTGACATTAAGTGATAGGTGAAATTAAATAAGTCATTCAATTTCACATTTCATTTAACATATCATTTAAAACCACATAAACTGTATTTTCATGCCCACCAGATATGAATAGCATTACTCACCCTTCTCCTATAAAAATGTTCTCGCATCCAAGGAATTTATGTACCTCTTCACTAGTTTTATATTCCCATTTCAATGGCATCGGATTCCAAGGAGATTGCTATCGATTTCTCGCCATATTTTCGCCTGTACACTGATGCCCAAATTGACAGATTAGTTCCTAATCAACTGGTTTCACCCTCTGATGATCCCAAATCAGTTGTCCGATCCAAAGATGTTGTAATTCTAACTGAATCCGGCGTTTCTGCTCGAATTTTCATACCGAATGTTAGAGATCCGCCACAGAAAATTCCCCTTCTGGTCTACATTCACGGCGGCGCGTTCGTTCTCGGATCGCCCGCAAATCCGCCCTTTCATAATTTTGTAAGCTCTCTTGTCGAAAAAGCAAACGTAATAGTAGTTTCAGTTGATTATAGACTGGCCCCTGAAAACCCTCTCCCAATCGCATTTGATGATTCATGGGAAGCATTTCAATGGGTGATATCACATGTCAATGGCAAAGGATCCGATCCATGGATAAACGAATATGCCGATTTTGGCCGGGTTTTCTTGGGTGGAGAGAGTGCCGGAGCCAATATTGCAAACGATGTAGCAATCCGCGCTGGGGAAAATAAACTTCAAGGAGTTGAAATTATTGGGCTTTTTTTGGTTCATCCATTTTTCGGTGGCAAGGAAGAAGATAAACTGTACAAAACTTTGTATCCTGCCAGTAGCGGTTGTGATGATGATCCAAGGTTGAATCCGGCAGTGGATCCACGGGTGCGGACTATGGCGGCGCGTAGAGTTCTGTTCTGTTTAGCAGAGAAAGATTTCTTGAGAGACAGAGGGAGGGCTTATTATGAGGGGTTGAAGAAGAGTGAGTGGGATGGAGAAGTGGAGATTATTGAGACAGAAGGAGAAGGCCATGGGTTTCATCTGTTTCTCCCTGATTCTGAAAAGGCTTTAGATTTGATGAATCAGTTGGCTGCATTCTTGAATCATGAAAATTAGAATGTCATTTAAAAAAAAGGAGCTTATAAGCTGCTTTTCATTAAAGTACCTAATTTACTGTAATATTGATGATTTGAATAAAAAAATGCGTTTCAGGTTTTTCAAATGTGAGGGATATCGAATCGTCATTTCATCGATGATCTATCATTGTGATGATAAAGATCTCGCCATACTTTTTAATATAACCAAACATTTTTGACGCCGAAGAGTTTAGTATGGATTGGCTCGCAAATGAGACGATGAATTTTTAAACCCCTTATTTACGCTCTCATGCC